AGACGTCGGCCCTGATCCAGGGTGTGTTTACCGTAGACGATGGTGCACAGTTTTACACCCTCGTCGACGGTATGACGGGGGAGGAAGATGGCGACGTCTGCCTTGAGGCTATGCCTGCAGACGATGCTCTTCTTGAGCTGGACGAGATGTCCCTTGAAGAGCTCGGCAGTGCCTTGAAGGCAGGTGATTTGGCCAAAGCGGTCATTGCACGACCGGACGACGAGATAAACTCGTCATCACTTCTGGATGAAGCTGTCTGGGAAGAGACCAAGAGAGTGCTGAACGCACAGAGTGAATCGTCGATCCTACGGAATCCATCGGATCCGTACTATACTTTGGTAAAGGAATTTCAAGACGTCGTTTCCAAAGACTCGCCTTGGGTCCTACCTCCGAACCGAGGTGTGCGTCATGAAATCGACCTGGTTCCGGGAAACAAATACTGCGTATTATACTAATGGACCCTGCCCATAGAGCTGTGCGACATCATTTACGCCTTTATTCGTGCGAAGCACGACGCAGGAAGGGTACGTTAGAGCAAGTCTCCCCATTCTACACCCACGTTTTATGTTCGGAAGCCGAACGGCAAGTGGCGTATTGTTCATGCTTACAATAAGCTCAGCCCAGACGCCGAATCCTGGAAAGGATGTTCTTTGGAACAATATGGTGGGATTTACGAAGTATAGTGCACTCGATTTCGTAGATGGATATTACCAATTGCTCATGAGAGCGAGTGACATTCCGATGACAGCGGTAAGCACTCCGAGCGGGATGCTCTGGGAGTGTCTGGTGTTGCCCTTAGTGCTGTCAAATGCACCATCAATGTTTAATCGTCTTGTGACGCAGTTGTGTAGGCCTCACAGGGCGTATGCACAGACATACTTTGACGACATTTTCGTTCACAGTCGAGCGGAGCACGAGAGGACGGATGAAGAGAACCACATCATCCATCTAAGAGCGGTGCTCGAGTGTATGCTCACTAACAAACTGTACGCCAATGCAACACGTGCATCTTTGGTGCAGAAGCGATTCTCTTTATATGGTGCTTCATTGAGATGCGTGTCCTTCGAGCGGATCCCGCTAAGAACAAGGCCATTGAAGATTGGCCAGCTCCAAAGAACCAGAAGGACTTGCGTAAGTGGCTTGGTCTCGCCAACTACTTGCACAATTACAGCGTAAACTACGCAGAAATTGCCCGGCAATTATTCAATCTCCTTAAAAAGGATGCGGAATGGTGTTAGAGCACCGAAAATCAGGAGGCTTTTGACGGAATTAAAGACAGCCTCCTGCATGCACCAATACTGACGCTGCCAGACCCTGATCGTCCTTTAAGCGTCGTCTGTGACACTTCGAACTTTGCCATCGGCTGTGCACTGCTGCAAGCAGACGCCGAGGGGCGAGATCGGGTGATAGCGCTCGAATTTCAACAGCTCAAAGCTGCAGAGATGAACTACTCAGTCCATGACAAGGAGCTACTTGCGATGAAGTATGCACTTGTCAAGTTCAGGGTCCACCTGC